AAAACAGAAGAAACCTAAATTAGTAGTAACATTACAAGATAATAAGCATAAAAAGGGTTCAAAATGAGTGTTCAATTTCTTTCCCCTTTGTTGAGGTTTCTGAAGATTTTATTTTTTTATTAAGAGGGCAAACCAAGCTATCTGCAAATTAAGAATTCACAACTTCTGGAATCTTGTAGAATTTAAGAAAATATAAACAATACAATTTGCTTTTGTATTCTGGTACTAAAAATACCAAATTTGCTGCTCATGCAAACTTAGAATAACACATGAAATGACTATCTCTATTTGTTCCAAGCAGGCTAATTCATTGCAATTTTTGACTAAGAGTTCTTCCATTGATCAAGTATTTATTTCTTTTGCTCATCACTAGTTTTAATGCTCCAAAGTCACTAATAAAGGGAAAAACTAATCCATGGGAACTAGAAATTAGTTCATACTTGATTTGACAATCTTGTTTGCACCAACTTCATACATTAGCTTTAATAAATATGAAAGGAACATGTGGTTGCCGAGGTGTATAAATACTTTGGATAGATCCATGTAAGAGAAACAATTAGTTTTTATCCAATACATTTTAAAAATACTAGCTTTCTTTTTCAATTTTACATATTTCTCAGAGCACTCATGAATGCGGCATATACCATGAAACAACTCATAATCAAACCATAATAAATATTGTTTCTTACAACCAAATGTCCTAATTTTAATAATGGTTGAACTCTTACATCTCTTGCCTTATCTAGCTCAGGACTGGAAAACTTTCTATAATCAAAACTACCTATGACTGATAAAAATTGTACAAGCATGTCCATTGTAGAAACAAACCCAACATCCTTAACTCATTCCAACAAACCCTCTATTCAATTGGAAGAGACAGGCTTTAATTTTATTATCATAGTCCTCACTTTTTCCAAGACATTTCCCATTATCCTTAGAATGTCTGCATTTCACTTCATAACATCTCCATATTCCTATTTATTTCCTTTACTTCTACTACAATGAAAAACTGTTTTTTAAAAAGCCTAGTGCATGGCCAGTAAGAAAACTTTGCAATCTGTGTTAAGGTGCAAAAGAGAAAGAAATGTCCATGACTGCATATATGGACAGCATTTAAAAACTGTTAGAAAAGGAAGTTAGAAAAAGGCTGAGATGAATAATATTCCAGGATATTAGTCAAGGAGACACATGAAGGATACCATGGGAAGATTGATATTCTTTAATGAAGGACACTGGAAAGAAACTTATTCAGAGACAGGAAGAGATGTAGCCTACATCCATTACTGATAGATATTGATTGAATATGCCACCAACAATATGGAAGGTATAGACACAAGTGAAATCTCCAAAAGTAGCAAGTCTCTGTTTCATTTCATTTATAGTTTAAAATTTAACATTACAGGAGAAAAAAAGGGAGCAATATACACTCATCAAAAGGACAAAATGTTAGGTGCTGTAGTTAGACATACTTGACTCAATGGATATAAACAAAACTATAAAAAGACTGATGGATGCCAGCAAGAGTTTACTGAGCAGCTCATATCCTTGGAACACTTACATGCAAAAAAACCGGTAAAGTTAACTTCAGTTAAAGACATCCTCAGAACTTTGAATAAGAAATGGTTCACACAGATTAGATAGGATATATAAGTTTAAAAAGACTAATGGTAAATCACATTAGCTTTCAAAATATTCTCCCAAAGTGCTAAGTTCAGCAGGGCTAAAAGAAGCAAAAACTTTTCCCAACAATAAACTAAACTCAACATGTATTGTTTTGTTCGTTACTATAAACTGCAGTCAAAACCAAGAATTGCCCAGCCCAACCAAGGACACAGAGTTCAGTTGATTTCGAGACAATGTCTGCTTATTCAGAGAAATACCACCAGACAATCTGGGATGACTTTTTACTAACTCACTTCATATATATAGCCTGACTATCACAGTAAGATCCAAAATAAATATAGCTTATTACGTTATATAATGGAAGGTAATGAAGGACACAAGGTAAGTTTTAGAAAAAACTGGGTGTGGACATAACTAAAAATTCCAGAAAATTGACTCATTATCAAGAAGCAAGCTCTGAATTGAACTGTTAGTGGGATTTGCCAGTCTCAGTTCATCAGTCATTTGCCAAATCTCTGCTAGATTTGAGGAAAAAGATATATTTTCTATTTGATCCAACATTCCTTCCTTTTCTCCTTCCTATCTATAAATAAAAGGAGAGGGAAAGGGAGAAACCAATCCTATGATTTTCTTTATAGTTCTGCCAGATCTTCCCTTCTTCCTATATAGGTGTGTGCAGAGCCACTCACAGATGTATTTGGCTTGTCCTCTTCTTCTCCCACCCCATCTCCAAAAAAGTAGAGGGGGGGGGAATAATCTTTCTGCTTAAACTCACTCTTTCTATTCAGAATACATACCCACATCCCAACCACAAGATTAGTTCTCCAATTGGAAAATAATAAGAAAGCAATTTTATTTATGACTTATTCACTCCCCCATTTTAGCAGCTAAATGGTGAGTCATTTTGGCAACACTGGAATATACAAAAGTTGTCTGTTTTACAGCCACTGCTGTTCATTTGTTAAATATTTATCCTACACAATGCTGCTTGAAAGGAATCTGTGGACCTGTTTGTGCAGATTTTGAAGCAACTGGATCAGATCAAAAAAAGAAGACAGGGCCCAGTCAGCCTGTCTTTACATGCAGGTGTTGTCACACAGCTGTTCCTCAGTCTGACTTTTGCCACATACTCAAGATCACACCCTTAAACTCCGTATTAATCCAGAGTAAACACCACTCCCTGGTTTCAGCCTCATGATCACCAGTATAGATTACAACTTCATTTCATAGATAAACATGCATGAAGGGATATGATGACACAGAGGAAAAGTCTATCATAGCCATTTTTAATGTTGCCAAAAGCTAACTAAACTACTTTAGGTGATCTTACGACCGTAGTCCAATAAAATTTCATGGCCTTCATATTTTAATCTTTTGTATAACTTCCATGTATAGAAACCCCCCCCCCCTCCAAAGACCCCTGAAATTTCAGCCTATCAGAAACTACTGAAATGTCAGGAATTAAAGAAACTACAGTCCAAAGTATATGTTCATGGCCAGGCTGGCTGAAATTTAAAGGGATGCAGGCAAAACCATCTGAAGAATACAGAATATCCAATTGACTATCTCACTTTTACTGTATTGTCAAGGTGCAAAATATTCATTTGAAGCTGTTGGTGTTCTTCCAATTACATTCCCTTGCTCCACCACCTAATGATGGCTTCTTTGGGGAATATCTTTTGTTCCTTTTGGAGGAATATGAAGAGCCCATCTCATATCTCCCTTCATAGCATGAGGTCAGTGTAGGAGAGAGGGTTGAGTTCATATGGTATTCCTTTCTAGGAAGTTGGCCAGAAAGGAGGAAGGGAAGAAGAATGATTTGACAAGAAAACTTACAAAATAAGAGGACTGCAATGTAATAAAGTCTTTGCTCCCAACTATTGAGAACAAAGCTGCTTAAAACCAGATTTCAGTTCTGTACTTTAAACCTTTAGGTCCATTGGCTTTTTTGTGCATCCCATTTCTGAATAAGAGCAGAAAAGAGAGTTGGTCTGTAGAAAAGGTTCCTAGAGTGAACCAAAGAGTATTGTAGGGCATTTTTTTCTGAAAGCAATAAGGAAAAGGGAAATTACTGAAAATTCTATAGCTTCACTTACTATACACTGAGAAGAGTCTATCCCATATGGAATTTTATATTTGCTAATAAGCCTATGCCCTAATAACATAAAATGATCCACTGCTATTCTGAGATTTGCAGAGCAATGACATTTAAAGAACTGTTTTTTTTAGAGAAGGTATAATACTATTGTTACACACACACCCATTTTATACCTTATTGTTTGAGTAACTACAGTTACATTGAAAGACACCTCCCCACCACACACATTCCCATTACTTTATCCCTCCCCTCCCCTCCCCCAACATCCTGTGCAGTAGAGGCCTGGTTTCCCTTGACAGATTTCTAAGGAGGTCTGAAAAAATAACGTCAGCTTTTGTTTACTTCATTTTCACATTTAAGATATGAGAATAGTGCCAGGATAAGTTCACAGAGCAACCTGCAGTAAATCTTGTTAGCAGCAATGGAAGAGTGTATTCCGTAGGCCTTGCAAAAAAGAAAAAAAAGAAAAAAGGCAAAAGGCAAAACCCAAAACTCAACAACCACTTCTACTTCTATATTTATTTATTTATACAGAAAGGTCACCTTTGGGTGGAATGGGTCATTTTATTATTGCAAAAATTTACATTTGTGCAAAAGGGGTCACATTTCTTATTGAAAATAAAACTGTTCCTAGCAGAATTAAGAAGCAAAGATACTAAAACAATAGTGATCCTGCTGATGTGCAATCAAGAAAACAATAAGAAAAAAGTTCTTGCTGCACTTTCAACTATTATTTATCATTTGATATCAATGGTTCCTCTTTGGCCTCAGATCAAAACAGGGACAAAGTAAACCATAGCTAATGGTAAACAAAGAAGGGGGGGGGGGAGACAGCTAAGAAACTGGCCTTTACCTGAAGTAGAATACAAATTCCTTGATGTTCTTTGTTACAGTACCAAGCACTGAACTGGCCAAAGATATTTTGCTGCCAGGGCAAGACAGCCTAGTAACTTAATTTACAGGAAAAGTTTTTATTTTGCTTTTCTTCTAAAAACATTTAAAGTAATAACCTCCTCTATTCCACTTAAACTGATGTGACAACATTCACCACCTCAACTGAAAGCATTACATTCTCTGGACAGGCAACAGGGTGGATTCTAGGCTGCCCACAATTATGTACTCCAACAGAAGAGAAAGGCTGGGGGCTGCTTCAGGACCCCTCCTCTGCAACTCCCATCCACCATCAGAGAAAACTGGTTGACTAATGTCAAATGCACCAGTTGTATTTTGCAGACAAGAAGAAAGCTGCATTTAAGTGTGAAGCAATGTTCCTACTTACCCTAATCTCATTGCGTCGGATCTCCACGTCACATACTGAGTGCCCTTGGTGTGCACCACTGTAGTAGCAACAGAACTGGCAAACAGCAACCTGTTCAGCTTCACAATGATACAGTCGGTAAGCATTGTGCTGGGGGCAACTCCAAGCCCTGACGTCATCCGCCTCCACCAAGAGGTGCCCACGTGCTGTAGAAGGCTGTTGCAGGTGTGTCTGAACGTGGGATTGACAGCATGGAGCTTCACACCTTAGACAGATCTTCTGTGCAGGCAAAGGTGGCCCACGGCGGCAGAAGACACAATGTAAGACTGAGGGAGTCTTTTCCAAATTAAGAGAGTTGAATTTCTCCACAATGTTGGTCAATTTTAAGTTCTTTTCAAGATTGGGCTTCTGGTTGTAAGCCTGATTACACTCAGGACAACGCACTAGCCCCGACTCTTTGGCCCAAGCCTCTCCTATGCATCCCCTACAAAAATTGTGCTTACAAGGAAGTTGGACAGGTTCCACAAAGACATGCAGACAAATAGGACATATAAGCTCTTCTTCAAAACAGTTCTTCCAGTTTTCAGCCATGTCTCACCCAGATCAGAACTTTCCTTTTAATCTCTTTAAAAAGTCAGTTTTTGGTCTACTAAAGCAGATGATGACGAGTTTCCACTTTTGCAACAGAAAGGCCACTAAATTGCTAATGAACCAAAAAATTAAAAATGCAATTAATGTAGATCTCCTAAAATTTAAAGTAATATATTCCCAACAACCCCACTTATATTAAATATAATTAACAAAGTACTAAAATTGCAGAATAGATACTTCTAAAGTTTGAAGCCAAACTTTCTTAATTCTTATAAGGTTTTTATTTCTGATTCTGAAAAGCAAAAGTAAAACTTACCGAGAATTGAAAAAACTCCATACAAAATCCAGAAGGAAGTCCAAATGCCATATAAACTTCCTATATTAAATATTCCTAATTTACCACTTTTTGAGCATTTAATATCTGAAAGGAATTTGTATCCCTTGTGACTAAATTCAAGCCTCCCTTTTCAATTATTTTTCCTCTGTAAGAAATTTGAGTCTTTAATTGAATCATTAAAAAGCTGGAGATAAATCCATATGCAAAGGAGAGGAGGAGCAGCTAGTTTTCTAATGCAGTTGAATGGTGCAAAAGGAATTTTTTTCCCTTGGCTTTGGGACAGTGCAATCGCAGTAGGAAGACGGTCAATCACTCAGATGAAATTCCAGCCCAGAGCCAAAAGGACCCTCCCATTCTTTGCTCTTTTTACAAATAGGAATGAGGAGAAGAAAAATACTTTAAAAACGTCTAGTCTGAAGAGCAGTAATAATCAGAAACAAGTTTAATGGAAAAACAACCTATTCTAATGCTCTCTGGAATTCTGTTTTCATGATTTGCCTTGTTTTTAATCTTTCATAAAAGTAAGGTGGAAACAATACTCCCAACTCCAAAATCCTCAGCCTTTTGGAGTGATGGTTTGCTCTCGCTGGAAGGAAAACAAGTATGCCTTGATCAAACTGAAAAGGAATTTCTCAACTGCTAATGAAAAGCCCAGACCCCGCCTCTTCCCCTTTGCTTCTCTGTTTTCCTTCTGACATGAAAGCTATTTCTCCTTTTGGAACCAGCCTGCAAAGGGGGTGGGAGAAGAGGAAGACAGACAAGAGCTAGAAGAGAACTGCTGAAATGTACAATTCCAAGAGGACCTACTCAGTCCTCAGCCATTTTGAGTTGATTTTATTTTTAATTTGTGGGATTTAGGGGAGAGAAATAGAAACAAACATGCAAAAGACAAGGGAGGGGAGCTGGTGAATGGCACCACCCTGCAAAGCGTGTCCTGATGGGGGAAAAGAGAAAGGCATACACGAAGGAGAAGGAGAGACGCGGAGTGTTCTAAATTGGGTTTATATAGCTGCAGCTGCTGTGTCTTTTAGTTTTTATTATCAGATCAAAGAAACCCCTACATACTCCTTGCAACCATCTCCAGCCATCTTGGGTCCCTTCAGTTCCCCTTTTAAGTAAAAATGTATTTTTAAAAATATGTGTATCTACACCTCTCTTCAGCACCTCTCTTCTTCAGCTCTCCCTCAGTCACAACAGAACGAGCTAGCAGACCAATGGATCAGACCTGTGTCACATAAAAAAGAAACAACAAGAAACACAGCCACGATTTCAGCCTAACAGAAGGAAAAATAAATGGGGGGAAGGGGGGCTACTATTACCACACTATCGCCCACAACGAAGACAAGAAAGAATATGGGAATTCCGAAACAGGAAAATGGGGAAATAAATTAAAAAGCAGGTCCATTTATCGATTAATATCCAGTACAGAAAGTCTACAGGGATTTTCAAAAATCTTTGCCCCATTCAAGGCAGAGAGGAGTGATGAACCTAACCTAACAAGCTCTGCCTGCTTCGCAAAGATTTTTCCCCCCTTACAGATACCAATTAAAACCTAACAACCTTCTCCCCCCCCCTCTAAGGTTTGCAATATAAAACAAGTCCGAAGTAGGGAGTGGACGGCCCAATAAAATCAATTAAATGAAGTATGCTGAGCAGATCGAAAGGGTCGCTATCAAGGTGAAGGGGAGCAGGCGCCGGAAACAGGCAGAGATGATGCTGCCTCTTTTCCCTCCGCTTTTCCCGGGATGGCGAAGGCGCGTTAGGGTCGAGGTGAACGAGAGGAAGAACCGGAGTACGAAGGAACTCAAGGGCGGAAAGATGACTAAAGATCAAGGGCGCATCGCAGGATTCCCCCCGGCTTGGATTAAAAGAAGAGGAGCTCAATCCGACCCCAGCTTTCAGTTTACCCAGCGGCAGGGCCCCTTTAATGCACGATTGTCAATCGATCAATCAATCGACTCCGATGAATAACAAGCGTGGAGCCTCCAGAAGCGCAAGGACAAAAAAAGGGGGGAGGGGAGGAATCGCCGCGCAGTCCGGTGGAAGCCGCTGTCCTAGCTCGGACCTTCGTCTGGATTCAGTCCCTCCTTCCTGCCGGGTTTGCGCCCACCCTAGCCGCAGTCAGCGCCAGCCATTCGCTCCCCAGCTCGGTAGACCGGCGACGGCGACGATGGCTTCTGGCGCTGCTCCTGCCGCCGCGTTGCTCCTCAACCCCTTCTCCAGGGCCTCACGTGACCGCCACAATTTGATACATTAAACACAACGCGTCCGGCCTCTCTTAAAGGGGCAACGGCGGCTCCGGTTTAGGTCGGCCTTGCAGGCCTCTCGCCTGACTCCCGCCTTTCTCCAGTACTTACTGAGCGAGCGGGACCGCTAGGAGGCCCGTTGCCATGCCTGAGGAGAGCCAGCCATTGCTGAGTTCCCTTCTCTTCGCTTGCCTTTGCTGGATGTCACGGTATGACTGAGTCATAGTGGGCTGCTCCCGCCATCCCCAAAGGGAGGGGAAGAGCGTGGCTGGAGCTGCCAATTTAATAGGCGCAGGAGGCTTTCTTTCTTCCCGGTGCCGGCAGCAGGCGTCCCAGCTGGGATGCCCGGGGTGGCCGTTGCAAAATTCAGCGGATGGCACAGATAAAGGGGAAGAGCTCGTTGGAGTTACAGAGGCTTTGAGCCTCAATTAGCGATGCCGGGGGTCGAAACGGGATGGCTTCGCCTGCCAATCGGGGTGTTTTTAGCACTGCTTGCCCGTGGCCTTTCCCAGCCTTTTAAAAAGGAATATGGTGTTGTACCTGCTTGCCAATACTGTTAAGCTTTTTCTGATCGAAGCATCCCTCAGTTTTGTACGCTGCTGTTGGTATCATTATTACTGCTAAAAATGCCAGGTGAACAAAGAAAAACGACACCTTATCTACAATATTAAAACTTGCCGGTGCCCTGTCCTGGAAGTCCTACAAACAGGAGTATATTTTAAATTCTACACTGCTGTGCTATTGAATCTGGTTCATAGAAGTCATCATCATTTATGTTAGTCCATAATTTAGCTTGGATGTATTGCTATCATTGTGCCAGATCCTAGCAATACAGTGATATCTTGGATATGGAAGAGATTGGGAAATTCAAAAATCACTGGATTTCTATGATTGGAGTTCAGTTGTTATAGTATAGGTATGAAACTGACTAGGAGGAAAAGAATGCCCTCTAGTAAATGGACAGTTTGAAAAGAAAAGATAATCACAATGGAAGCTAACTTGTTTTCTGTGTTTTTTTTTATAAAGGGAGTAAGGATAAGGGATGGTTTTCTTTCATGCGGCATCATCATCATTATTATTCAGTGTCATACATTTTTCCAGTGCTAAGACTTATTTGAATGGAGAGCATAGTGGGTTACAGATGTTTTATTAAATTTAGCACAATTTTATTTTGCTCGCCAGCTGAAAAACCTCCCTAAATGGCTTGTAAAGGTCATAAATAAGAACATCTCTGCCTGTAGACTTGAAAGGAAGGTATAGGCTTTATAAAACACACTGAGTCACAGTTACCTTAACTATGATTTATTAAATAAGTCACAATAACCTGGCCTTGCAAAACAATCAGAGATCCATAGTCTAATCATCACATTAATCAAGAATAAACCAAACCACATATAGCTTCTAATTTATTACCTAAAGTTTTGGAAGCACTAATTCAGTAGATGATGAATCTGGATCTAAGCACAACGGAAGTGTTGTTGCTGCTGCTTTTCACTCTGCTGGCCTCAGCAATGGCCACTGGTAGCTAGTAGTAGGAAACAATATTAAAACTGGTATGCTGGAGCTTGGTTAACTGCTGCTTGATACTCGCTCTGATGAAGGTTGATATAAGCTGTGTAGCAGCAAACAAAAATATCTGATATGTGTGTTTGCATGTTTTCATATGTTAAGTGATATCTAGTACTTGATTTCTTGTATCTAGCTATTCTAGATCTAGAAAACAAAGTGGAAGGAAAGATCTAACAAGTCTAACAGAAGGATCTGTAAACAAAGCCTGATTTTTGTCTCTTCCCCCCCCCCCCAACTAGTTAACTGTGCTGTTGTGGGCTGTGACATTTTCTATTGGATGTTCCAGCCTTAACTTTATTTAGAGTGGTTTCAGCATGCTTTCAGAACCAATACAGCTCATAACACTTCAGGATTAGAAGAGGCTTTTGCTGTTTCAGGAAAAGGCCTGCATATTCCCAAGTAATGGCATGACTTCATATGAGAAAAGAAGACATATAGACAGATTTTGTCAGCACTTGCATGTACTCCCACTGTGAGCGTATTGAGCATTTACATTTGGCCACAGGGAGGAGCAGGATTTTTCTCACTGTGAGAGGCACAGTTCTCAATTACAATTTCTGGATGACATGCAAGAATATTCTAAGTCTGCTTCATTCACTGGGGGAAGCTGCATTTACAGCTCACTTATATTTAAATATTGCAGTTTTCCACCTATGTAGATGTGTGGATGTAGGTGAAGCAAATAAGTTTTCTCTGAAGAAGGAAAAAACACACTATTATTAATATTGCAGTGCTATTACAAATATCCAATTATATTTTGAATAAATTATTCTTTTAGGATAACGTTTTGTAATAGTTGGCATTACTGTCAGCTTTTGAAAACTGAGAATATGCTCAGTGATCTTTCAGTTTTGCAGGGGGGTTGGGTGTAATTAATGGATTGGATTATTTGAGGGGATAGGATCCTTTTAATTACAAATAACTTACTAACTAGAAATCCCCTGATTTTTACATCCTTTGCTACAGAGAGAAGAGATTAAATAAAATTAATATTGAAAGCTATGGTCTTTATATCCTGAATCCAGTTCTGTTAAAATCGAATTACAGCAGCTACATTTTCTACTTTGAATGTTAGAAAATATTAACAACCGACTTTTTGATGCTACCTATTGCTTTCTTCTATTATTTTGAAGATTGATGAATTCCCCTGTTTTTTGGGGTTGTTTTTTTGTTTTGTTTTTTGGAAAGTGAGCAGAGTAGTAAATCAGTTATCAGACCCTTCCTGCCAATGTTATCTGCAGCAGCTTTTCCATACCATGTGAGAAAAGCTGATGAATCTAAATCCTGGAAAATATACAGGGTGGAAAATACTTTTCTAAAGCATAATTTTTAAATTATTGAAAAAATGTTAAAAACTCTCCTGTATATTTTAATGGAATAGAAATGGAATAGAATTGCATTATTACATGTAATATTTAGTACCAGGAAGAAACATGATAACCAAT